CCAAACCATTCTGTGATTCTATGAATATTACCAGGAAACCCTGTACTTTTTGTATAACTTCAGCTTTGGGTCCATATTTATTTCCCCTTATCACACTTTAATTCTGGCAGATTCAAATACAACGAACAGACTCCACTGCTCATCTACAAAACCCCACTAATAGGATTGTGATTTGCATTCAAAGGTCACCCAGCTCCAGGCTGGGGGTCCTCATCCCACCTTTGCCTGGTCCCATCTTCCAAGACACCACAGGGTTGTCCTGTGTCCGTGAGATAGGGTGCTCATCTCCCATCAGCTTCCCCACCTCTTTTTTGACCCATCAGCCCAAGAACGATGATTATTGCAATAAGACACTAAGCCTCTATGTCGAATTAATTAATTTCCTTTATTTATATAGAGGAAAGGCAATAAAAGAACACAATAGTACACACCAGAGATCTGATCCCAAGTGTCCTCTCTAGCAGACTTTCTGCTCACATTATCTGTAGCAATGTCTGTGCTTTGTGTTTTCCTCCACGGCAACACAATATTCCCACTCCAATATCCCACGGTCAGAATTAGGCCCTGCACCCAGGACCTAAGGCACAAGTCTGCCACTTCAGCTAGAGAAATCTCTACTACAAGCGCAAGGGAGGAGCAGGCAGGGACAATGGCTGGGGAGGGACATTGGAAGGAGCTGTAGTCTTGTAGACACACTGCCCAGAGTTTGGGTTGGCCTCCTGCCACCAAAATCAGCCCGTGTCCCATTACTGATTTATATAATAGATGAGTTTACGTAGGATGTATTTATATTGGGTTGATATGATATATCTGGTTGGGCAACTCTCCTTGCAAATCAGCATTTTTAAGAAAGAGCTAGTGGGTTTAAGGGGGCTCTGTGATTTGTCACTCAATTCAAGGTATCTCAAAGGAAAACCCAAGTTTTAAAGGGCAGATCCAGCCCAGAAAGTCACGAGATGACAGCGGCAGAAAGAGGTGAACTGCATCCTAAAGACATGTCTGGAAAAACAGTTGCATGTCTGGGCCTGCTGTGTACACCAACAGCATCCAGAGGTCACCAGTAACACAATGGGGCTTTGCTGGAGCCCAAAAAACCCGTCTCCCTTGGATGGAGGGGTTTGTGCCCCTCAGTCTCTTTTGAGTGCTTTGCAACGATGCATAAAACCCGCCTTGTCAACCTGCCACTGCTCACTGTGACCAAGCAGGCTTGCAAGCTCACCACCCCACCAGATCAGTGTTGCCACGTTGGCTGCTTGGCATTTTTCAACCTTTTCAGCCTTTTTCTACCTTTCGAGGTGTGTCAAGGTGGGTTCTCAAAACCACATTAAATAAAATAAGCAACAACCAAGCAGAGAATCCCCCCAAACCAACTCAGCACCACGGGAAGCGCTACGGACAGAACGTGCAAGGGACATCTCCATCCCTGGGGCCCCACTGGCTCTGTCTTCATCCCCATCCCTGTCCCTGTCCCCTCCCCAGGCTGGTGGCATGACTCACAGCAGGCAAGATGTGGCTATGCTGAAGCAAAAGGGCACTTCTCAGAGCTGCCAGCAGCTGCTCATCTCCGCATTAGCTTAGTTACATTAAGGCGTGAAGACCAAGTGCATAGGAAGCAGCGGGACCTTCTGAGTGCTTCCAAATCAGCCCCTGAGTCCTTTATCATTGAAATGTTCCCCAAATCCTCCTCCAAGATGCTCACTGTCATTAGGGTGAGGAAGAGGAGCCTCTGGCTTCAGGTTGGCCCCATGGACATTGACTATCTGGTTTAAGTCATCGTCTAGAAGACAAGTCCATGAAAGGAGCCAGATCCACCTCCACCCGCTGCCGGGCTGCAGCCCCCCGATGAGTTGTCATCATCCTTGTCCCTGTCCAAGTCTCTCCACCACAGCGGGGATTTCGGCAAGGCAGAAATGTAGGCGGCTCTGTTCCTCGCTTCTTTTTCCTGCTCCTGGGAGAAAGAAGGGGAAGAAATAACACAAAGATATCTGCAGCTAAATGACCCAGGTGGGAGGATGTTCCTATCTTTCCTCGGGAGCCAGGAGTCTGTTTGGTTGCCCCTGGGAGCCTAGTCCAAATTAAACTGGGGTGAGAAGACCATGTGCTCATCTCTAGAGCTTGGTGAGAGGGATGCAGCAAAGCATTACATCTCTCCAGTGATCAAAAAAGAGCCCTTCCACATCACCTCCAGAAGAGGAGGGACCACTCAAATTCCCCTGGGTGCAGCTCATATCCTAGAGGACACTGCTGTTTGGAAAGCGTTGAAGTCCACCAATTGAATGAAATCTGTTCTAGTTTGTATTCCCAGCTCACTCATCTTTCCCAAGCACTTAGGAGAAAATTTCAGGCAGATTTGCCTGGGGTGGGCAACAGCAAATCAACCCTGAGCACAGCCACGAGGTGTCTTGTACCAACCTCAACACCCAATTTCATCAGGAAACTGCAACCTGTTTACACCTGGGTGCTGAAAAGGAAAAGGGATTTGGCTTCAGGGAGCTGGTGGGCATCTGCATGCCCAGATTTATCCGCAGGACACGATCCTGCTGCTGCCTGGATAAGTGGGAACGTGGCCCATGAGCCAGGCAGCCACAGGATCGCACCCTGCTGTGGACAGCAGCTGGAGTTACCTGCAAGTAGAGGATGTTATCTTTGGAAATGGCTTCCATCAAGTCCTTATGGAGAGAGGGTTCCCCGTGAAGGCGACTGGCCTCAGCCAGAGCCTCGTGCAGCAGGCAGCTCTGCCTGCCCGGCCGCTGCCTGTAGAAGAGGACGTAGGCAGTGTCCTTGGGGAAGAAAGAGGTGACGTTGCTGACTGATTCAAAGGAGGAGAAGGAAACTCTGGTGTCATTGAAGAGGTACCACTGGATTTCCAAGTCTAACTGCTTGTTGGAGGCCAGTTTCGGAGCCCCATCCCGGGGTTGTCCGTGAGGGACGGTGTCGGTGCACTCCCTGGAGTAGCAGTAGTAGTGGCCGCTCTCAGAGGAGATGCCTGAATGCACCACCACACTGCAGAGGTCATACACAACAGACATGAAGCCACTTCCTGGGGCAGCCCTGTCCTTCCCACACCAGCAAATCTCCTCAGTTTCCTCCGAGGTGACAAGGATGGGCAGCTTGAGCACCACAGGGATGGAGACATTGTCCAAGATCTTCTTCCTCTTCATAGTCCGTGGGTCGAAGGAGAACCGCAGCAGCGTGAGGATGAGGTAGTGTGGACCTTCCGTCAGTTCCGCCACCTTCTCAGCGTCCTGCAAGGATGCGCATTTCTCACAGTGGTATTTATTCTCTGCTGTCAGTCTCTCTGGGGACAGAAAATAGTTGATTAAATCTGGGACAGATCTGGAGTCCTTGGGAGCACATGCCTGCTCCCCAAAAGCTGACAGAGGGTCTTTGGCTGCATCCATGCCAATGGTATTGCCACTTAAGGGATTTGATGCTTCTCCTGGATCCTGGAAACCCAACTTTTCCACTGTCATGGGTGGGACTGTAGGGTCTCCAGCCATGGGGGCCTTCCTCCGGATCCAGGGAGACCCCGTAAGTTGGCTTGGGTTTTCAGGAGGCTCAATAAACTGTGAGCAAATTTCTTCCACTGGTAAAACAGATGCACTCCCACGCACGTGCCTGTCTGGTGGGGGAAAAGCCAGGGATAGGTCTGTGAAGGCTTCTTCTCGGGAGGAGACGTTCAGACATTTCAAGCAGCGGATCTTTGTCATCATTTTACCCCCAAACATCTTCTCAATCAATGTCTTGTTTAAGTAATGATGCTCCACTGCCTGAGACATCAAGCTGGATTCCTTGAGTTTCTGGTAGATCCTCTTTCCAGTTTTTTCTTCTTCATGTAATCTTTGGCAGGGGAAAAAAAAAAGGCTGTTGTGCATCAATACAATACCAAGAGGTAGTTTCTAAAGTAGGTTTTATGTTCTTCACTCCAAGGGGTTAATCCAGGCTAACCTGCCTGTGCCCAGGGGCCTGTTGCTGTGGGATGAAGGTGGGAAGGAGTTGGGCAGCATTTGAGAACCTGAGGTCTCCATGTGCCACTGACCCCTTCACTTCTAGAGGGATCACTGGGACACCAGAGATTCGGGATTTCTAGGTAAGATAAAGGCAAAAATCAACACTTTACAGAGGAGGTTGAGTGGCTTGTCAGGCAAATCTCAAAATTTGGTACAATTCCCTTTCCCTTCAGAACAAAAGCAGAAATTTCCAAGCTGAACTAAGTTCTGACCTTACTCCTAATCCAGCCCAAACAAGGTTTTATCAAGGAGCCATAGACCAGTCTCACCACCTTTCACCCCAAGCCTCCACTGTCCCAACTCCTCCAGTTGCCCTGTTTACACATGGGTCAGCGTTAAACATTACATCAGGTGTGGGGATGTCATTGTCACCAGGTTCCAAAATCCCAGTGCTTGCCACGTACCGGTCCAGCAAGTACTTGAGATACTCCGAGCAGTCCTGCTGAGCACCAGGGGTGAACCAGGGTGGCCAGGAGGCAGAGAGGAAACTCTCGGGTGAGATGGCAGGTCTCTGGCAACAACATAGAAGAAGAAG